TTTTTTTTTCAAGAGAATCCAATGTGTCTACATTCCAGAATGTTCGAGATAGGTTTGATGAGAGATCGGGCAAATTTGCAGCGTGCTGCAATTTTGACATCGCTGCATCGGAACGTCTTGGATTTGACGGTCAGTATCGCTGATGCGGTCACTCGTGCGATCATGGATTTTGAAATTCAAATGAATAAGGTTAGTAACTACTCAAAAGTGGCGGTCCGATTGCGGGGGCGGAAGACGATGGAAAAATTTTTCTATGAAGAGGCGTAGCAATAGTGGTTATCCCCCACAGAAGATTTTTTGAGGAGTTTCCATGGTCTCTCGCAGAATACAGAATCTGAATCATGCAAAAAGGGCTACTCACATTTTGACAATTTAGAAAAAAATCCCGATTCCTAACAAATAACGAGTTTCTTATAGGCCAATACTTTCTCTCCTTCCCTTTCCTCTTCACCATAGCTGTCGTGCAAGTTCCAATTAACTTTTTTACAATTTAGGCGGATAGTATCGACGCCGTTCTTCAACTTCAGAAGGACGTCGTGCACCAGATATTCAAGGTAAGAAATAGCACTGTATTCGTAGTTTAAGATGATGATTCGGTACTAGGCTGATATTTTAGGTGGTATGAACTACTTCATTTTGGATTTTTCGTACTATATAAATTGCAGTAATTGCCAAACGTGCTTTTTACAGGAAAGTCGATTGGACCAATGGAAGAAGGTTGCATACCTACAACGTCTAGTAGATCTCATTATTACACATGGTCTCAATGGACTCATGGTAACTTTTTATCTTCTCCAAATCCCTTCGAAACTCAGAACTTTCAGAATTCCACAACTCTGAGCGAGGATTACTATGTGATACTGGAGGACGTGGAGTCGTTGCAACTTATTGAATAAGTTCTCAATATTGTTCATTCACTTTTTGCATTTTCATGACGGGTGTCTGCATTTTTTTTTATGCATCTCAGATAAATATTATGTTAAAAACTTACTGGTTCTGCAGTGTTACGACACACTAGTCATTCTGCGATTATTGCACAATAATTTGTAACATCCGGAGAGAACCGAATTATCAAATATGCATGAAATAACATCATGTGGTCGATTGAAGGTTTGCATTTTACAAAAAGGAGTGTAAAAATCCATGAAGTGGATCTCGCATTAAACTCCTTTGGTCAAATCTCTTCACGACTTGAATTCTCGTTCTTCCTTCGTTATGAATTT